AGAGGGGGGGGGAGACAGACAGAGAGAGACAAAGACAGAGACAAAAAAATTAAGGGCAACTTGGAAACACATGTGTCCCTTTTTCCATAAAAGTACGACAGCTACGGGGTTTAAAGTTGACAAGTACCTGCAAAAAGATCCCGCTTTTTTATTTATTCATTTGCTGAATTACGAAAAATAAATTTGACAAAAACTTCCCGTCCTTCTTTCGCCTTTGTGACTATTCAACTGAAGAAAGAAACAAATTTTCGTGGCTGTCCTTAACAGCAGAAGTGCCGAAAGTGATATTTGGCGAAGCGCATTTTGTTTTGAGAGTATAGATCTAGACCCTCTATTTTTTAAATTTTTTTTTTCATCTCTCAAGATTTATTGCTCCAATCCAGTAAAGTGTAAATAATAATATAGTAGGCCAATGACTTTCGGTTAATGTTAATGCACCGATCATTCCTTCCATCGAAAGGGGGCCCAGTTAATTTAATACACTCAATAAGAAATAGAGATGAGAGAGGAAGGTGGAATTATGGGATTTTGTTCTATACGCTTGTGTTATTCTAAAATACGTTGCCTTTACTTCACCATACATCTCCGATATTGCCCAGTCACTTGGAGGGAGGTCAATGAAAACTTAGCAAAGTAAACATAAAATTCAAAACTTAGATATTCACTTCATTATGCAGTTTGATTTCAACTGACATGTTGATGCCGCAAGAGAGAAGAGAGACAGAGCGAAAATGTGAGTGCTTTGGAGGGGGGAGTGGTGAGTGCACAAGTGTGTATGTATCAGCGTACACAACTGGGGTAAAAAGAGAGAGTTTGAGACGGAATGTCAGAGTGGAAAGAGAGATTGTTAAGGAGGAAGAGTAGGGGGAGGAAAAGTATGTATGTATCAGTGTATGTACACAACTGGGGAAAAGAGAGAGTTTGAGATGGAATGTCAGAGTGAAAAAGAGAGAAAGTGAAGGAGGAAGCAGAGAAGGAGAAGGAGGAGAGGGAAACGGAGAAAGATCTAGAG